GTGTGAGGAGTCTTGTAAAAAAAAAATGAATTCAGTCTTTGTGTTTTTTTTAAATCTATTTCTGAGAGAGAGAGAAACAGTGTGAGCAGGGGAGGGCTAGAGAGAGGGAGACATAGAATCCGAAGCAGCCTCCAGGCTCTGAGCTAGCTTTCAGCACAGAGCCCAACACGGGGCTCGAACCCACGAACTGTGTGATCATGACCTGAGCCAAAGTCGGATGCTTAACCGACTTGAGCCATCCAGGTGCCCCCAGTCTTTGGTTTTATTAATAGAAGCAGAGGATCTAGAATGGAGGAAGTTGATAATTCCTCCCCATCAAATTTACCTGGAGTTCTGTTTTCCGCTCTCAGTTTTGATCACAAACTGGAACATGGCCAGAAGAGACAAAGAGCAGACAGCACTTGAAATGTTTATTCTGGAAAAGACTTAGGGAGGAAATTATTGTTTCCACATGTATAAATGGTCGCCATGTGCAAGGAGATTCAGGTTTGCATTTTTGTGAACTCCGGGTTGGTGCAAGGACCCTCAGGTAAAAGTTTTAGGGAGTGAGATTTTGTTTTAATATAAGGATAGTTAGAGTGTCTGAAGAGGATGAGACCACCTGAGTTCAAGTGGTGGGTTCAGTCATCTTGACACCATTTAATGGCCATGTAGAAAAGAGTCCTTGAATCTGATTTCCTTTTCTTTTGAACTCTCAGAGAGTTAGTTACAGATGATCCAAAAAAGAGAAAATAAATGGCCAGTAAGTGATAGAAAAATAGTGTAACTTTGCTAGTAATTAAATGAAAATTCAAACAATAGTAATGTATACTTTGTCTGCTAGCAAAAATTAAGGAGAAAAATAAATTCCAGTACTGGTAAGGATGCAGCGAAATTGGTTTCCATTCACTGCTCTTTGCACTGATGCATTTTGGAAAGGCCTGTATATGCAGACATGTAACATTGATAATACTTCTGTTCCAATGATCCAATAGGCTAGCTAACAAAAGACAACTTGAAAAGACGCAAATGGCCACTTGCGTGAAGATATTCATTGTGGTATTACTTATCATGGAAAGAAAGTCCGAGCAAATGAAACAATGAAAAGGTAACAGTTGAAGACGACAGGCATCCACTCAATAGAATGTTATGTATCACTGAAAAAGTCATTTTCACTGTAGCTATAGGGAAAATGCATAGGACGTAATGTTATGTGTGCACCTGTGGGAAATTGTCACCTACAGAATTCCGCAGATGTGATGATTATAATTACATATCCGACAGATGGATACGACAAAAGATAAGAAGGAAAATTTCCTCTTTTGAAGTCCGGCCTTGCCACTAGCAAATCCCTTAACTTTTCTGTGCCTTAGCTGCCAAGTCTGTAAAACAAGGAGTTTGGACTCAGTGGTGTCTAATGTCCCTTCCAGTTTTATGATGTGAAGAGAATGGACCTATTTCATGAAGAAAGTGTATCCCAGAGGGATAAGAAATCAGCCACTGTCTTGCTTTCAGGCTACCTTCATCATACTCCACTTCCTCCATATTATGTATTTTTAGAAATCGGCTTTGAAATGAATAGCAGATAAGAAAAAATAGAATTCCTTGATCTTTCTCAAATAAATTGCTGCACTTTGAAGGAAATGTAGCCATATGCTCCCCAAGTACTTTAGTGTGAAGTCGCAGAAAACAGTTACTCTCAGGGCATTAGGATACTTTATGCAAAAATGCCCAAGAATGATTTCAAATCAAGATATTATTGCTTTGAGCATTAGTGAAATGCACTGTCCTGGAAAGGTTTAGTCACACAACACAAAGGGAAGAGGTGGACATTTAATAAATTGGCTTATTCACTTATATTTGAGTCTTTTAAGGGGCACCTGGGTGGCTTAGTCAGCCGCGTGTCTGACTATTGGTTTGGGCTCAGGTCATGATCCCAGAGTTGTGGGATCAAGGCTCATGTTGGGTTCCTCACTGGGCATGAAGGCTGTTTGAAATTTCTCTCTCTCTCTCTCTCTCTCTCTCTCTCCCTCCCCCCTCCCCGTCTCTCCCCTGCTTATTCTCTCTCTCAAATAACACTTTGAAAAATAGTAAAAAATTATCTTTACCCAGTTCCCAACCCCCCAGTTTTTTATCCCAATCAATGGGAAAATGGTCAAAACATACTTACGTTTGTGCATAACGTAGGATCTTTTCAATTCATAGGGGTCTGAGAAGCAGGGCGAGGGGCATGAGCTTTCAATTCATAAACAAATGCCTCCACAGGCTCCCTGTGAAATTTTCCTCATTTGTTCAGAACTTTCTAGAAGAGTGGTTCAGACACTTTCCTTTCATCAGGCAGAGCGGTCAAGAGGAGAGGAGAAACTGGCTGGGGCTGCTTCTCAGCCACTAGCACAACATCCATCACACGGATGGGTCTTCAGGGCCTGTGAGGTACCTGGGGAGAATTTCACGAATCTGAGGATTCATATAACTTTACAGACACAGTTGTCTGATCTTTTCAGAAAACAACCCATTTTCAATTGTCCAGGAAAAAAGTTTAAAATGCAGGCACAGGAGCACCTAGGTGGTGGCTCAGTTGGTTGAGTATCCAACTTTGGCTCAGGTCATGATCTTGTGGTCTGTGGGTTCGAGCCCTGTGTCGGGCTCTGTGCTGACAGCTCAGAGCCTGGAGCCTGCTTCAGATTCTGTGTGTGTCTCTCTGCCCCTCTCCCACTTTCACTCTCTCTCTGTCTCTCAAAAATGAATAAATGTTAAAAAAAATTTTGGAAAATGCAGGGACAGCCCACATCTAGATTACCTAAAAACTAGAGAAGAACTTGTATATTATGTAGCTATTCAAATAAGGCATCTATCCAGCAAATAATTACATCTTCAAGGCAGAGTCCAGAGTCTTGTAGTTTGGCTCAAAGAAACCTTAGACACACAGCTCCCTAATCAAATGCACAGCACAGCATGGAAAATGCTGCAATTAAAACTATGGCAGGAACGAAAGAAAGCCAGTCACAAGTGTGAGCTTTACTGGTGCCGTTGATGTCTTCTTTCTCTGCATTTATACAAGCTGTTTTTAGGAAAACAAAGACACCTCTTTTCAGAGAAGGAATTGGAGTATGAATCAGAGAGGTTGGAGAGGGCAGCCGGGGTGCCATCTTGAGGGCAGAGAGCCTGGATGGGGAGGCACATGAATACATGGTAAGGAAGTGAACACACACAGAAGCAGCTTCCACTTCCGACTGCTGTCCTTTCAACTCAGTCACTTGGCAATACTCTGAACTTGTTCTGGTAAGATTGCCACAGGTTAACCCGCAGGAAGCTCTGATCCAGAGAGACTGGCCCCAACCCCCTCGGGGTGCCGTTTAAACACCTGAGCATCTGCCTTCCAAGGCAACTCGGGGCTCCTCTGCCATTAGCTTTCAAGTCCCTTCAAGGCTGACTCCACCTGTCCCCGTCGCCCAGCGGTCGCTGGGATAGAACTGGAGCTACAGGAATGCTTCTTGAAATAAAAAAAGAGAACTGCCTCAAAAGGGTAGCTTATGAATCATTAACAAAAATAATGTGCATCTTTTTTCTACTGCTGTGTTATCATTTCAATTCTTTGCAGGTAGTCTCCTTTCTCACTTAAGCCATATCGTAGCCCAGAAGCCTTGCATTTGGGTCTTCACTGCAGGTGACGGCCACGAGTTTCCTCTTCTGTGGAATGGTCAATATCCCCTGGAGGTCAGATCAGAATTTTGGAGGTGTTACCGTGCGGACAGAGTTCTCTCAAATATTCGGATTCTCAATCTAACTGGGTGTCTTTTCTTGGCATCTTGAGATTCACTTAGGAAACATGGTTAATATGGGCTTTACGTAGCAGCCACCCACACATTATACTTGACCTTAAGCATTACTCAACTTGATCAACTGCCTGATTCATTAGATTCGACCCAGATGACTTTCTGCTCCCACTCCCCCTTCCATCCCCCAACCAGTTATCCTCGAATCCTGAAGGCCTATCATCCGGGAGGAGAAACACAGCTTTGCAGGTGATTTCTTTCAAGAGTGGTAATGGAAATGGTGGCAATGCTGGCCAATAAGTGGGGTCCTGGGTGATCGCTTTGAGAAGTCTTGTCAGGAGAGGTTCCTTCTAGAAGTCTTGCTAGAATAGATGTGCCCCCTGACGTTGCAGTGTGGAGGCCAGTTACTGCTGCTGCTGGCGGTATCTATAGACCCACATGGTACACTGAAACAAAGCCATCACAGAAGGAATCAGAGAGGCTCTGAGAGAACACCTTTTCTACTCCGCCAGCACGGTGACTGGTGCCCTGTGATCGATCGCTTGTCCAACCACTCCTCTGCCATCCAGCTCCTGGTTGGCTCTTGAGGTGTGTTACGGGGGTCACCGATTCATTGGTGATAGATTAAATCCAAGAGGAAGAGTCTAAGGATTAGGAAAGTTATCACGAGAAATCTTCAGGACTTGGGATAGGCTGGCAAGGCCCCAGCCCCAAAGGAGAATTTTAGTTTATTGTTTGACAGCTTCCAAACGAAGGGAAGAATCTGTTTTAACCACAAGCCCAAAGTTCTGTGATGGGAGGCTTGCGGTCCAACAATTCTTCAGAGCAAGAACTGGGATTCTGAGACCCACAGACAGGTTCTCCAGCTCCGGCTGGGAGTTTGTGTTATTTGCTAAAGGTGTATAATTTTTTAAAAACTTTATTTATTTTGAGAGAGAGAGAGAGACCATGAGCAGAGGAGGGGCAGAGAGAGAGGGAGAGACAGAATCCCAAGCTGGTTCTGTACTGTCAGTGCAGAGCCCGATGTGGGGATCAAACTCATGAACTGTTGAGATAATGACCTGAGTGGAGATCAAGAGTCGGACGCTTAACTGACTGAGCCACCCAGGCGCCGCAGAAGGTGTGTGAATTTTTTTTTTTTTTTTTGTACAAGGGAAGCAGGCATGAAGGTGGGTAGGTACCGTTAAGTGCGGTTCAGACCCTAAAGCCAAACTGTAAAAAATGGAACACACACCCTAGTGCAGGTAAGAAATAGGAACAATTTTACTGCTTCAGCATTTGCACATGGAGACGCAGTGCACACAATAATACGTGGCATTGATCTTCAATTGATGCAACTCAGTAATTTTTATTGCAACTGGAAGACAATACATCACAGAAACTTTATGGTAGGTCTGGGGAAGTGTTATTTACAATAAATGATGAAATAGTTTGTCTTTGGCAATATGATTACATATGAAGAATGCGAAATGCAAGTATGGATGCCTCCAAAGCAACACCATCAGGTCCCAAAATATCGGCTGATTGTGCAAGCCTCCACACTGCTCCTTTAGGTAACACAAACGCAACTGAACATCACTTCCTGTTTCCTTTATGGTTCTCCCTTTCTATTCATGATATTGGCAGTTTCGTACAGAAAATACAGAAAAAAAATTGGCTTTTGAAAAATTATTACTCTAGTAAATTATAATTTGGCCATGTAGGTCTATTGGCCAGCGAAGGTCAGATGACCCGAAGCACCGATAGGTGCTTGGTCTTCTGACTGCTTTATCGCTGTTATTTTTTTTCTTTTGTAAAACAAAAATGAAACTCAGAAATGTTACAGAATCAGAGTATAAAAAAAAATGTACAAGTGTATAATGCTTCCCAGACACACCCGGAGACTCCCCCCTCCCCCATTTTCACCATGGCAGGTATAAGTAGTGAGTGTGAATAACACAGCATGAACTGGTTACTGAATCAGCTATGAGCTTCAATGGTCTCAACATACATATTCAAGAAATGCTTTATGTTTAAATAACTGAAATTGTGCTAGGTTTCATCTAAAAAAAGGGGAGGGGGGTTGGGGAACTCAGGCCACAGTAATGAAGGGATGAAAATCAATTTGTAGGTTTGATAGGCTCCCCATATCGAAGTCTGTGCGAATCCAATATGGAGTATCAGTTATTTGCAAAAGGTAGGGAAGGCTGTTCTCAACTTTTGCAAATGAAATACAGTGGAAAACCACTGTTGAATAGATTCCAAATAAATAGTCGATTTCAACGCGAACAAAACGAACAGGAAGGGTACTTGTGAGCATATCACAGTAAGTCAGAAGTGATCTTTCACCTAGGTCTGATTTCAAAAGTACGACAGACAGCAAAATGCAGCACCATAGACACATCGGTTTTCGGCTGTTAAAAGATGGATCGTTTTGAAAATCGTGTTTTCCTTCCTTAATTTTTGGTCAGTGAAGCTAGCACTTGTTTGCTGAACTGTGGAAGAATTTCAAGGTCACACGCATTATTCATGATAAAGCAACCGAGCTGACGAGTCTGTGCTTAATTCAAGAATAACCAGTAGGAGAGAGAGAAAAAAACAAGGAGTTAACCACCTCCGGTGCTCTCTCAAAGAGGGGTTAACAGATGAATTCACAAAGGTAGGCGGGTCTATACAGAACACTGAATGCCATGTGTAAATCCTCATGAAACTCCAGAAACAGGAACACCACACAATGTATATACTTTGATTTACACATTCCGTTACAAAGAAAAAAGACACCATTACAACTCTGTAACTGTGTTAACTGCAATATAAACCAAAGTCCCGAGTTTGGAAGGTAACTAAAAGAGGGTTATCACTTAGGTTATATAGCAAAAGTGTTGATGTATATTATATATAGTAGTATAAATAATAAAAAAGTATTATTTAAATTAGATCACAGTGCTGCATTATGTGCATAACAGTGTTTGATATAGTATTGGAGGGCTGGGACCTAGGACACTAAGGATTTAACTGTCAACACTGGTAAGTCACAATCAAGAGGGGACACAGAGTTCAAATGTGTTCTTTTGGTGGCAAAACTCCTGAAGATGAAAGAAAAAAATACTTCTCTACAGAAACATAAAAATAAATGGCAACATCTGGGCAGCTGTGATCCACCAGAAAGAAACGAGTCCCAAACCTGAATCAAGTTTAAAGGGAAAAGAGAAGTCACATTGAATTTGATCTGATCCCCTATGGAAAACCCTCCCATGTAGGTCACTTGTACAGAACTCTGATTCCTTCTCCAAAAGCCCTTCAAGGAGAGGCCAAGAGCTCACGCGCGTAGCGTGGGGTAACTGGGATGTGAGTTGGTAGCACTTGATGCTGGGCAGTCCCAGTGCATCCGAGGACTGGGCTGGGCACAAGAGACTTCTGGACGGTTTTCACTCTACAGAGCCCACAGCCTGAATTTGTCCCCGGGCCGGGAATGCCATTCAGTGCAAAGGCAGCTTCTAAAATTGCCCTGTGGTAGTTACTGCCGCACCCAGCAAAAGGACCAGACACGTCAAGTGCCTCTACAAAACAAAAACAAAAACAAAAAAACAAAAAACCCAACAACAGCAACAACAACAAAAAAACAGCTCTTGGGAAAAGCCTCTGACATATCCCTTCTTAAAAACTCAGCCCCCAGACTGAAACCTGCCGCAGTCGTCTGGGCCATATCAAACTACCACCTAAATGTGGGTTTGGTTCATTTTAATTCCAAATAGACAGCTTTACCAAAGAACCCTTGAAACGTATATTGATTAGAGAGGGAAGTAGGAGCTTATGGCATATAAGGCTGGGAAAAATCTATGATGCAAACCCTTTCCACATAGTACTAGATAAAGATAAAAGACAATTGTAGTAGCATAAAAATAACTGTCTATGTGTATATCATTTAAGGAGAAAGAGCTACAGTCTCTTTCTCTTAAATGTGTCCGAGGGCCAACAGCAAGTAACTGTAGATGTCATGGTGCTGATGTGTTCATGGTTGTTTTCCAAAGCATCTTTAAATATTGCTATAGTTCCCCGTCTCCCCCTCCCCCCTGCCCCATGTGAGTATGTGAGATACTGGAATGACACACGAAATGCCACTTCTCCCAGCAGGAGAAGCGAAAGCAAAAACACCACACCCCTTGAACGGTGCTCAGGCGATCTGGCAGACTAATGAATACATACGCTAGTTTTGGAAGCTAAAGGGACACCTGACGTTTGGGAAGTAATTCCAAGACTAAAGTGAGTTACATTTGAGCAAAATATTCTTTCACAAATAGGCTTGTGCTTAAAATCTCTACTGCTCTTGGAGGAGGGAGTGAGAGAGGGTGCCTCCTGCCCCCTGACGTGGTGAGGACATGGACAACCTCATTCTGCAATGACTTCACTACAAACGGCCACATACACATCGATACTTTTTTTTTTTTCTCAACAATCAAAATACAAAGTTAAACACAATTGAGCCATTGTTTTGGTTATGCATAATGTGTATGCCTCCAAAAACAGAAGAAAAATAGAAAAAAGTACCCTCACTAAAGTTTCCCCTGCAAGTCACCCAGCGGCCCCTACAGAGGTGCTGAGGGAGACTCAGGAAAATAACACTTAGAAAGCTGCCCGATGAGGTATTTATGCAAAAAGAGTGGTTCTGGAGTTAAGAACACACTTTTATAAGATAGTTATCTATTTCTCAAAGAGATCAGAAAAGTAAATCACACACATTGCATTTTCTTATTTTCTAAAAGAGGTCTTTGCTCCTTTAGAAAAATGAAGTGAGGGGAGACAGCCCACTGTGGGGGGGGGGGTTAACTGGAAGAAGTCCCCGCCAGAAACAGTCCTGGATGTCCACCTCTGCCTTTCAGGAGGGAAGTCTGAATCTTATCCTGGGGTTGGGGGTGAGGGTAGGGGTGGGGGGGTGTCTTCTGGGTTCGATCAGGTGACAACACGAATCAAAGTGTCGCTCAGGCTCCACGGCTGACACGGCTTTTGGGGCATCAGATATTTGGGGAGATGGAGGGAACAGAGCACTTCAGTAATACATCCTTTCCCCCATCTACACCTGGAACAAATATGCTAGAAGTATTCAGGTTCAGGTACTGAACTGGACCTGTCATAGGGATGTAGACTTTTATTTTTCTCCAGGTTCTCTTATCAGCAACCCAGAGGAAGCAAATCGTGGGGTACACGCCAGATACTTCCCTCTGTTCTGGCTGATGGAGCTCCTGACCGTGCCTGCTGCTGATCGATGGGCTCCGCAGTGACCCACGACTGTCCCATTTTTAAAGATCACCATCTCCCAGGTCCCTCCCTCCCAAAATTCCCCTTCGTGTGGGTGGAAGATTTCAGAGCTTTCTCGTTGGATCTCCCAAGGTAATTTCTTTTAGGCAAAGACAAAAGGAGTTTCTGGTCTGCGTGACATCATCCGGTTGTCTAAATTCAGCCCTCACAACCTAGGTGGGCTTCAATTCCAGGCTGGTTCATGTGCCGAGGTGACAGAGGTGGCCGGCCCCTCCTTCCCACTGTGAGATGGCGTCACAGGAAAACTGTCTGGGGCTGGTCCTTCCAATGCCCACGTCACTTTCTCCTTCACGCATACCCTAACTCACACCCTCATCCAATAAGGCCCATTAGCGTGCTTCCCCTTCTTCTGGCGAATTTGCATAATTATTCACTGCCTTCTTTCTAGAACCAAATCTCGGTAATGGTTTTCTCAAGTCGGCGTCCTAGAAATTCTCTTGATTCTATCATACACACTCACTACTAAGTTTGCCCTCAAATTATTGCGTCATGGTAAACATGTACAGACAAAGAGAAAGGACACACTTTTCAACAGAGAATCGGGGTCAGGGGCTGAAGTGCACACAAGGCAGTACAGAGCTCCACCATCCAGGCCCTACCAGAACACGAAGATATTTTCTATTGCAGAGTAAGATTCCCCAACAGTCAGAATTTGTCCCTGAAGAAGGTTAAACCTTAAACACCTGCTTCAAAAAACCAAAACAAAATAATTGGGGGGGGGGGGGGGGNAAAAAAACGGGGGGGGGGGGGAGAAAACAAAAACAACTAAAAAAAAAGAAAGGAAGGAAAAAAAAAGAGAAAACCAAAAGAACCTCTAAGCCTAAGGGCTTAAAAATTAGAGGCATAGCCTTTTCTCTATTTTCTATATTTATATGAAAATAATTCATGCTTCATGCTAAATACATTATTTACCTTACAAGAACTTTTGTTATTTTTGAATAAAAAAAAGTCTGTTTTATGATTTTTTTCTTTTTTTTGTTTTTTTCTTTTTTCAAAGGAATCCATGCACTGTGGATCAGAAATTTCTGCGGGCTACACTGGCTGAATGTGGAAATCACTGATTTTGCAAAGATGAATCCTGACATTAATTGCAAACTCCACTCTGAGGGCAGTATAGGAGTTTTTTGTTTGTTTTTGTTTTGCCGTGTTTTACTTTTGTTTGTCCATCAATGTGCCTTTGATCTTTTAAAAATACACCACAATACTAATGGCAGCTTGTGTAGCTTTTTGTTTTTTGTTTTTCACTTGGATCAAATAATTTTGACAGAAAAAGATCTGTACCATTATTTTCTTCCTTAACAGCTACTGTAATTTCCTAGACTTGATTTTCACTTGGGCAGTTAAGAAGACAGCTCACTTTCTGTGTCAGTTCTCTCATATTTGTGTGTGTGTGTGTGTGTGCACGCACACGTGCGTGCATGTGTGTCTAGGTGTGTGTGCAGGGCCAACCTTCAGGCTTATGGCTTGTGGAATATTCTCTTAATACAGAACAAAATTCAAAGATTAGCAACATCACTAAACACTGACCCACTCTCTCATTAGTCACAGACACCTGGTATAAACGAGTGGTCCAGTGTCCATTTCCTAACAGGCTACTAGGCTTCCCAGCGAAGAAGCACAAAGGACTGGAGACCACCCCCGATTCTGTCCACCCATCCCTGCACACTTCATGGCCACACCAAAGCTTTTCCTAGCACAATTTGATGCCCAGTGCTACAAGCTTGGGTCTGCTCTCAGGGGACCAGGGGTCTTCCTTCTCCCCAGGTGCCTTATATGCATTCACTCAGCAAACCCAGCTGGGTGGACATCCTGACTTTTTAAACCTAACGGTTGGGCCTGATAGATGGTTACTTTGCACACGTGCCTTCTAGGTGCCGAATGTGTGTTCCCGTGGCATTATCGTTGGCATCCCTGCGGATTCAGCCACGTGTTTCTGACAAAGCTGGAGGAAGCAATGGTAATTTTGGCTTTTTCGGTTTTTTTTTTTTGTTGTTGTTTTTTTTGTTTTTTGTCTTCAGATAATGAAAAGCTTTTGTAAAACAGCTGAGTGTCAATATGAGTTCTATGGCTTCAATCTCCTTTAAAAATAAAACTCTTAAGGGTCCAAAACAAAGGAGGGGCAAATTAAAAAAAAAAAAGGAAAGAAAAGAAAGAAAACCAAACCAAAAAAAAAAAACAAAGAAAAAAAATAATAAATCGCTGATATTGCCACAAATCATTAGAAATCTCCTGACATGCTAAAACCAAATGGCCGAAAGTTCAAAACAAATCAGTGACTTGTTTTTAATTTTTCGTGGTTTCCTTTTGCTCCTTCTGCCCCTTTGCCGTCCGATTGGTGATGTTATTCAAACAGGACCGAATCCCTGCCAAGTGCAGGAGCGAGCCCGCCGCCTCCTTCATCTCCTCGTCGTCGCTCTCGGGGGGCTTCTCCGTGCGTCTCTTTTTGAGGGGCAGCGTGTCGCTGGGGACCTTCCTGGCCTTGGCCAAGTGCTGCCGCTTCTTGTGCAGGGCCGCGTAGCCGCTGTCCCCCAGGGCGTCCTTGGCCTCCTTCGCGCTGTGTTTCCGGTCGTCGTCCTCTGTTTCGCTGTGGCTCTCGTGGCTCTGGAAGCTTCCCTCGCTGCCCTCGCTGCCCTCCTGGCTCCCCTTGGCGGCGAACTCGTAGTGGTCGTCGGCCGAGGAGGAGGAGACCGAGTCGCTGGCCGGCGAGGTGCTCCTGGCGGTGGAGGACTTAGCGCTGCTGTAGTTGTGGTCCTCCTTGGGGTCTCCGCTGACCACCGGGGAGCCGCACGACGGCTCGCTCTCAGTCCGCAGCCGGCAGCCGCTGAGGCCGTTCCTGCGCACGGGGCGGCGGGGAGGGGACGGACAGAGAGAGGACACAGGTTAGCGGCCTGCGTGCGCACGCTCGCGCATGCGCATCCAGCCCCTGCGCGCGCTCGCGCATGCGCATCCAGGCCGCGCACCTGCGGGCCACAGGCTGCCGCGTTCTGCAGACAGGGTCCTGCCTCCCTCGCCCCACCCCCACGCCCTTCTCCCTGCTCCTCCCATCGCCCGCATTTTCACTCAGTGTGTGCACAGGCGTCCAAACAACACTCTCCTATTAAACCATCAAAATCAAGCTGTGCTTGGTTTCGCACACCTGCTAGCACCGCAGAGCGGGCACCGCCAGGCGGTGCCGGCCGGGTACTTCAGGGACAGGGGCCCGCTCTCTTCCGGAGCTGCGACACGAGGGACCTTTTGTCAGGAGACTAAACCCAGTGTTCAGCCGAAAGAGATACCTGCCATGTGATGACAGCTATTCACTCGCGCTTGCCCTGCCTCGTTCATTCTGCAAATATTCACTGAACGCCTAATATAAATGCACGGCCTTAGGGGAGGGTCCTGGGGAGGCATCCGCGGTGGAATCAGATACACCGTCACAAAAATGCTCACCGTGGAATAGAGAAGCAAGTCGTGGTTACATCATAGGTGAGAGGGCACTAAGCTACCATCTACTACACTTACCACCTGCCAGGCGCCATGCGCCGTCTGCATGGATGGCTGCATTTAACTCTGTGAAGTGGATAGGAGCATCTCTGTTTTACCGACGCTGGAAGAAAGGTCTGGAAAGCCACGCAACTAATAAGTAGCAGAGTTGGATTAGGACCAAAGTCTGATTCTCAAGGTGGGCTCTTAATGCAGTCTGACTGACTCTCGCTGTTTTTCTCATTTCCCTATAACTAGGTCCCTTTTGTACACTCCCATCAGGACCCGACAGCACTCACCACACCTCTGATTATTGTATGGTGTCTTGATGTCTGAATGATGACCTGAACTGTCTTGTGCTTCGTACTGGCAAGGGGAAGAGTGACTGCACCCACTTCACTGTGGGGCTGAGAATGGGAAAGAACGCCCCCATCTGTCTGGACCAGTGCCTGGCCTAAGAGTGACGTTCATTCCTGTTTAGGCCACACATTCCCAAAGGTGGGCACCTACTCTGTGTGGACGGTAGCTGTATTTCTGATAGAGTCTAGCACACAGGTGTTCAGAAGAGGTGGCACGACTGGTGGTCAGAGATGAACAGGCACAGGAAAGAAGGGTTACTCTGAGCTGGAGGGGACAGACGGAAGACAAGGAAAGGGTCTGTGGAAGACAGTGTCTGACTTCGGACATGAGGGCTGAAGGTCTGGGCATGGAGGTGTTCTAGTGCACCACGCTGGCCCCGTGTCCTGTAAATGTATCCAACTGATACACTTCTTGGAGATCTGGGAAACATTTTCCTCTTTCGCTAACATAACACATCCTCAACTGTATGTTCTCCTATCATGTTCCCTCCACAGAGAGCACTTCCCACCATCTTTATGAGATGTGCGATGCCTTGTTCAATGTCTATGCTTCTCACAAGAGAGTTAGCTCCACAAGACGGCGCCCAGTCATATTATGTCCCCCAGTGGCTAGCATGTGCCAGGCACAGAGTGCACACACAAGATAATACTGAGCAAGGGTAGGAGCAGATGGAATTGTGTGGCTGAGAGCACGGCGTCTGGGAAGATGACTGTGGGTCTCCACCAACACGCCTTACTGGACAATCCCTGCCCATGTGGCACCTGCGGAAAGACTATGGGGTTGGGCCCAACAATAAGAGTCGGTCACGGGCTGTTACCCTTTCTTTCCTGCCATCCCTGTGGGCCTTAAGGCTCAATGAGACCCTGGATGCAGCCCAGAGAGAAAGTAAAAGGGGAAGAGAGTCCTTTGTGTAGCAGGGAGTGAAGCCAAGGAGTCTCTCCGTCTTCTGGTGTTCCAGAGGCTGCGGTTCTCTGCTAAGTTTAAGCTGGTGGTAAGAATCCCACTGTAATATGCACCAGCAAAATGCATGGGGGCCATTACCCAAATTCAGTCGTTGCTACATGCCTTGAGATCCTCATGATGAACCCCAACAATGACAATTCATTTGCACAATGAAGTCCTAGCAGTCTCCAGAAGAGCCCACCGGATCGTGTCCTGCATTCTCAATCCCAGATCTATCACCACCTCTACCCAGTCCCTTCCAGAAAGGACTGGCTTTCCTGACAGCTTCTGTTCACATCCTGGCACTGCTTATTAGTGACCTGCAGCAGGCTCCACATCTCCCTTACAGGGCAGGGTGATGAAAGACGAAGTTCTCAGCACAGAGGATGGTTTTTAGCGGTGCCTGGGAATTCTGGCTTGGTTTTCCCTGTTGCTATCGGACAGTTAACCATTGCTTCCTGCTGCTGTGCCATGCTTACCTGAGCACTCTTGTTTTCTTTCTATTGTGGGTCAGGAGGCTGATGGGGACACAGCATAAAGTAAGGGGAAATAGGCCCCAAGAGAGAAATTCCTCATGGGCTTGCCTGTAAAAGCAGCCCCTGAGCTTTAGGGAATGGCCTCTGCGATATCTCTTTTCTGCAGACTTCCTGTTTCTTGGCTCTGTCTTGGATGCATAAAAGTGGCTAGGAAAAGATTACTTTGAGGTGTTTCCAAATATGAAACTCAATAAATGTAACTAATTGCACAGGTAGCTATTAATAGCTATTAAACAAATGGAACTAAAAGTCTCGGATAATGGTTCTCTTGATCTTTGTTGTTGCAGGTAACTGCTGTAAAATCCAAAATAATTGGTCCACTGAACTAGCAGAAAACAGGCTCAGACTGAACCCAGTGACACTTGGAAGAGTAAACTGGGTTATGGCTGGCTTTCTGAAAATCAATTTAATTCTGAATCCTTTTTTTTTTTTTTTTTTTAACAACATGGGGTTTATTATTCACCTCACCACCACGGTTAAGCAGAACGGAATACCTCTGACCATATATGGCGAAAGAAAGAAGGGGAGAGAATCATGGGAGCAAATGAGTATGAAATAAGGCAAGTGTTGCCAAAGCTAATTCTTTGTGAATCTAGGTGAAAGGCATATGGTGTTCACTGTGCTTCTCTTTCTCCTTTTCCACAGGTTAAGAAATTTTTTTAAAAAAGAAGTTTGGAGTCAGGGGTAGAAGATGTATACCAAAGTGACAGCACTGATAGAACAGTCTAGTTCTAGACTATAATAAGCAGAAAGGTCCTGGGCCTGAGAATGTCTCTTTCTTAAAGAAAATAAGCATAAATGAAAGAAGTTCTAAAGACACACTACCATCAAATGGAGAAGAGAAGAGAAAATCACTTTGGCAGCCCATGAGATCAATGTTACGTAGGGCAAAGTCTCTGGTACTGCCTGCCAACAGTGCCTCCACAGACCACATGCTGCCACACTGGACTGGCTCAACCATTCTTCAGATAAACAAACAGAAACTAAAGAAGTGTCCCGTGACTTGTCCAAGATGCCTCAGCAAGTTCTCAAAGACTGCTCAAGCAGGAATCTGAAATGTCTTTCTGTCTCTCTCGGGTAAGGAAGCTTACTGATAGGAAACCAATATGCCCACTGACCATATTTCTGGATAAAAACAGGTATGCAGATGTGACTTCAGGGAGTAGGAATTAAAATATAAATGTATCTCTCTCACTTGATAAAATTAACTCTCCCTGACATGGGAGCATGGGGCGCATAATCCATAAATTCCACACAAACTCAGCAGGAAAGTGACAAGCTCCTTCAATGATGAATAACTCGATGCAGTGTTGTTCATGGCGGCAAAAACCAGCCGCGCTGACTTGATGTCAACACCTCGTGCTGCAGGGGCTGTCATAGGATGCCACATACTTAAAAGAAGGAACCAGTCATCCTGAACATGTTGGAAGGTAAATTTCTAACCACCTCTTCAAAACTCATTCATTAAAGCGAAAACGTGATAACATTGGAAACACCTGCCATTTCTCTGACTTCTCTGAATTTATATGTGACACCACTCACAAATGATGTTAGCGTAATTTAAAGCCATCTGATTTTACTAGGCCTCAACAAAACCGTGTGTTATTAATCTCAAAAACCTGGTATTCATTCTCTGGTCAAATCGATGGGAAATAATCGAACATAAAAGGTGAGAAATCACATTAGCTCAGGCCGAGAATGAACAATGCTCGTGACTAACAAGTCAAAGTACAGCTTCCGATGGGACACGGCCATCTTGCTTCTCCACTGGTTCATTACTGGTCCTGCTATGGTAGAACCATATGTGTCACCTCCACCTTTCACCTGTGCACCATGGCTCTCTCTGGAGCCAATGGCTTTAAACCTAGAGACTATCATTTAGGGTGAAGTTGTCCTCCCAAGGGGTTGACTGGAGAACTCTTGACTTTGGCCAAGTGTGCAATTAATGGGATTCTTTGGCAGTGCAGGAGCCAGTGCGGTTCTTCTGTCTAAAACCGACCACAGGTAGAAAGACGTGGAAGAGAAGAGATGGCCAGGGAGTTCCACCTCCAGCTGGGTGGCAGAGAAGCCATCTGGAAGACACTCTTCTGACTATCTCACAAAAGATTCTGGATGAAGTACGGCAACATAGCTTTTAAGTCATGGCTGGTTTTGCTGGAAAACAAGGAGAGTCTTAGAAACCCAGGCAAACACATTTGTACCAAAAGAATGTCACACACAAACAAAAAGTTAAAAAATAAAGGGACAAAATCTGAAATAGGAGCAGTAGGTGGCCAAGAAAGCCAGGGTTTCCCTGGAGCAAAAGCCTACTGTAGCCCTGGGACAAGAGCCCAAACTTAGTGATGGAAAGAGAGACAAAGAAGATTGATTCTGGCAGCTCCATGGTTACTTTCGCTCCTCGAAGGGGATTAAAGTGGCCTCAGGTGTACTGGTCCCTAGGCTCCCAGCACAAGTTTGAAAGCAAATTCTCTCGTGAAGAACGCAATCTGAATTTAAGCCACCAGGATTCCAACACACTAAGGTTAATCAAATA